GATTTCTTTATCAGTTCCAGTGACTGCAATATTGTCAACATGAGTAACCAACATAGAACTTATTTCATTTTTATCGTCTTTCTTGAAATAAATAGACGGATCATGAGCTGATTGTGTGTAGCCAATGGAAATTAAATATTCATGTAGTTTTATATTCCATTGTCGAGGAGATTGCTTTAGTCCGTATAGTGACCTCAGAATTCAATACACCTAATCAGGATGTTCTTCATCTACAAAACCCTCTGATTGCTCCATGTAGATCTCTTCGTCGAGGTCTCCATTTAAGAATGCCGTTTTGATATCAACTGACACCCCCTTCCACCCGTTTTTCGCCATTAAAGTTAAAAATAACCTAATTGATTCTTGGCGAGAAGTCGGTGAGAACACTTCAGCAAAATCTATTCCTTTGATCTGAGAGAAACCTAAAGCAACTAATCTTGCTTTTAATTTATCAATAGACATGTCGACATTTCGTTTAGTTTTGAAAATCCACTTGCATCGAATAATTTTGCGTCGAGCAGGTCTAGGAACAAGTTTCCATGTTTCTTTACCCACCAGTGAGCACATTTCAGCTTCAGCCGCTAACTTCCAAAGATCCCAGTTAGCTGATTTCTTGGCTTGCTTATATGTTGAAGGCTCTTTTTCTGATTTGATATATGCAGCTCTACCATACTCACCGTCCCTTGCGGGCTGTTTTCGCGTAGCAGCTGAGCTAATCAAATTACCATATCGAACAGGCGGTTTTGTTGTTTGAGACGGTCTGACCTCCTTTTCTTGAATAGTCAAAATAGGAGATGAAGGATTTGACAAAATGATACGTTCATCAGAATCCAGAGTTGGCCATGGAAGTGATCTAGATCCATCAGGCCTCGAAGGTATGTCGATGTTAGGTGATTTTAGACCTGGAAATACCTTGTCGTGAAATACTAAAGAAGTAGTTTTTAAAACTGACTTCTTTTCTGTATCCCAAACTATAGCTCCTTCATTGTTGATTAAATATGAAAGAAAAATAGCATGTCGAGCTCGCGGTTGGAGCGTCGAATTTGGTTTTATAACGTGAAACCATACCTGACAACCAAAAGAATGAAAGGTATGTTCTTGACGTTCACGATTACCCATCAAAGAAATTGGCGATTGAAATTTCTCATTTGTCCTTGCGGGCATATTGTTCAAAGTCTCTACGGAGTATTCTAACGCATCTCCCCAAAACATGTCTGGCAATTGAGCTTCTATTAAACAACATCTCACTTTCTCTTTAACTGTTCTGTTACACCTTTCAGCTACACCATTTAATTGTGGCGAATCTGGTGGACCAGTCGTTTGAGAAATTCCTTTTTCAGCACAGAACGATGTAAACTCCTTGTTGATATACTCAGTTCCGTTGTCAGATCTCAATTCAGCAATAACTCCATTAACTTTCGTGCTCATTTCATTATAAAATAATTTGAACTTAGACAAAACTTCATTTTTCGATTTCATCAAATAAATTTTAGTATAACGTGTATAATCATCGATGAATGTTACAAAGTACTTGAAACCATTACGAGTTACAACTGAATAAGATGATACATCTGAATGAATAACACTCAGGGGCTTAGTTGATCTCCACCCCGCACGACTTGGCATATTACGCCTCCTCATTTTACCCTGAATACATATATTGCATGAATGTAACTTACGAAGCTCTGATTCATCAACTTTAATATTTAAAATGGAGAGTTTTTGTTTTAGAGCTGCGTAGACGGGATGATTAAATCTGAGATGCCATAATTGAACGTCAGACACAGCCGCTTTCGAAGAATGGTCAGGCAAACTTGATTTACGTACCTCATTGTTGAGATAGTACAAGTTTCCTTGTCAAACACCAGTTCCAATGACGTTTCCAGAAATTTGACAATTTTTGACGAATCAAACATTTGAAGAATTGAAGACAGTTGAGATTTCTTTGTTGGCTAGTTTAGATACCGACAAGAGAGGTTCAGATAAAGATGGAAAATAAAGAGATCTTATGTCTCCAAAATCTCTAAATGGTAGATCAACCATTCCTCTTGATTCAGACTTCACAATTGATCCATTTGCTAGATTAATAGTTGTATCGTCTGGTTTCTTCATTTTAACTACATCTGAGTATGGAGTCATGATTTGTGATGTACCAGAATCTACTAACCATCCAGCAGTCTTAGCAGTCGTTGCTTTCAAAGTAGCAGCCAAAGAAATTTCCGAATTAATGTCCACCGATTTGTCTGAGTCAGAGAGATCGAAAGAATTTGCTGCTGCAGCTTTCGCTTTTGCTGCCTTCGATCGTCTGATTTGATTTTCAGTTGGTTTTGAAAAAGATTTGGATTTTTCTGCTTTGGTCGTCGCTTTCTCAGCTTTCAATACTTTATATTTTTCAAGCTTAGACTTTAAGATTTGACAATCATCTATGTGATGGTTCTTCTTTCCACAGTGGGAACAAACAACTTCCTTCGCCTTGCCATCCTTAGCTGAAGCTATTACTTCAACATCCTCAGAAGAAATCGATCGTCTTGTAGCTTCCTCTCTCAAGACTTTGAGAATAGTAGTTGATGAAACTGAATCTCGTTGCAACAAAGGAGCCAAGATTGGTTGCCAATCGGACGTTAAAGAAAGACTCACCGCTGTTGCAAAGATTGTATCAGCGGTAAGAGGTCTAGTTGGAGTGACCAATGCCTTGAATTGTTGATAATCCGCAGACATTATCTCTAGATGTTCGATGATCGAGTTGTCACCCATTTTGGCGGTAACTAACTTCTTTAACCAATACATGATCAATCCAGAAGAAGCGTCTTGATGCGCTTCACGCAACGCCTTCCACTGACTTCGGGGATCATCTTCGTGAGCTGATAAGAACTCGTAGTTTGAAGGATCTACATATCTTAAGATAAGTGCAGATACTTTACAGCAATCGTGTTCTTCCATTGACAGTAACGGATAAGGCTGGATGTCCTTCAGAACATAACCGTACGAAGAGCCTCTGATGATTGTGCCCATCACAAACTGCCATTGGTGGTAGTTTGAAGATGGGCCAGGTGCTTCAAGTGGTTTGATGCCAGTCGCATCGAGCTTTTCATTTGAATATGAATGAACAGTCGATTTAGTTTCAATACGAGAGCTAGAATCTGAACAAGGGTTGAGTTTTTGACGAGATGAAGAACCAGGTAACAGTGAAGACGATGATCTGTCTTCAACTGCTGGTGATTTACTCTTATCACCTACGGTGGAGGTGGGAAGAGACATTAAATCGAAAAAGAAGAAGAGGTATCAATGATGTTTAGATTAAGTGGTAAACTAGAGAGATACAATAACTTTCCAGTCTGTATGTGGATAAAGTTTGTTGGAGATTTCTCATTTATCGATCTGAGTTTATCGTCTAGCTATACAGACGGACCTTTCCAAGGTTTTCAGTGTTTTCAAAGAGGTTTTGAGTTTGCTAGAAGTCTTTGAAACGTTTTCCTTGAAATGAATATCTTATGATTATCGAGATGGGCTCATAACCTGATAAGATGGATTCACGTCTAGAATGAAGATATTAGAATGAATAATAAAGGTGAGGAAGAAAACCCATCCATCTAACATCAAACCGTAATTAGATATATGAACTACAACAATAGGTTATGAGGCTAATTATACAGAGAAAAGTATTACACCAGGGGGTAAACCTACGGCAAGAAAACGGTTTTCGAACCCGTTTTCTTGCCGTCACGGTTTTAAACCATTTGGGTCGTTTCTGAAACGATCTCAGATGGGACCGCACGAAAGCGGTTCCCATCACCGTTTTCGGCGGTGATGGCAAACCAGCTTGGTGACTCCTAAACTCGGTCCCTGGAACGGCCTGGTACGGTGCTGGAACGGCTTTGGAAAATCTGTCGGCACCGCTCCCTCCGGTCCCCGATGCCGTTCCAGGAACGTTTTGGGGGTAGGGTTA